TATAAACAAAATATACATAACAAATGTGATGGCATGATAATATAACCTCACAAAAAGAGAAATAATATATATATGTATATATATTTATTCCGTCGTGCAGCTTAGCATAAAGTGTTCACTGTTGTACAACAGGAGCCCGTGTGAATCACACCAGCCTCTACATGTTAGTGGAAGTGAAGGGCATTCTCTTGAGACCTGTCTCTGAGGTTTACTCTCTAATGTCTCGTCCTGCAGAGCCCGCGGTGCAGGAGCCTCCTCACTCTCCGTACAGCCCGTTCATCCTGGTCTCTAACCTGCGAGCTCACCTGTACGTCACTCTGGAGAAGAACGCCTGGCTGCAGAAGCGCATCGAGGAGCTGGAGGAGGAACGCAACTTCCTGCGCTGTCAGCTGGACCGATTCATCGTCAGCATGAGGGGTCCCGAGGGTGAGGAGTCGGCGAAAACATCTGTTTAGTTGAACGAGATCAACAAGTTAACATGACGGGAACATGCATAAAACTCTCTACCAGGATTCCTCCAAAGAAACTTAATCCATGATAAGAAACAATATTCACATGTAGTGTATTTGTTTAATATACTGTATTAATATAGGCAACAGATAATTCATAAATTAAATGTCATTAATATCCGTTAGGAAATATATTGTAAGCAGCTAAAATAAGCACAATATACGTATGAAATAGCCTCTCGTGTCACTTCTGGTTGCAAAAAAACAAGATGGTGACGGCCAAAACTGCCGAACTTGAGGCTTCAAAACAGCAGTGAACAAACCGATGGGTGACATGTATGGAGTGGATGAAAGTGCAATGATTCCTCTGTATTTATGTGGAGCAAAAGTATACATTATTTTCAAATAGAAACACTCGAGTAGAGTTCCAGAAGCAGCCTTCACTGCATTACATTATTGGTGTCGTTTTTACACCATTTAGTTTGTCTGTAAAAGACACACAATGAAACTTGAATAATATATAATATATAATGATGTGTTTTCTGGGTTTCAAGAGTCAGTAAAAACATCTGCCCACCATGCTGTTCTTTCTTGTTTGGTATATTCGAGTTGAGTATTATTATACTTTCATACAGTGACAGAGTGGTGTGGAGACTCCCAGCGGGGTGTGAAGGTCCAGCCTGCCAGCTCTCCCTCCCCTCCCTCCCCCATGACCACGAGGTCTGGGATGACCCTGAAACGGCTGCAGGGATCAGGATCTCGGACCCGTCGCAGCACTGCCATCCCCGGTGAGCCAATCAACGCACCTTATCGTGTTAGAAAAATATTTAAGTCTCAAATATTACACGGAAATAACTGTCACATTATTTACCACCTCACCTTTCACGCCTGCAGTGAAGCAGGAGTTTCATCTGGAGGAGGATAAATACTACACCGAGGACGAGTACGTGGAGGAAGAAGAGGAGGAGGACGAGGAGGAGGAAGACGAGGACTCCTCGGTGGAGAAGGGGTCAAAGAAGAAGGGCCGAGGGCGAGCCAACGGAGAGCCGAGGATGAAGATGAGGAGGATCTTCAGGATCACCCACGGGAGGGAGAGACAGAGAGGTGGGGGCTAGACTATATACTATACTATATACAATACTGTATCGTACTAAACTATACTATGTACTATACTTATATACTGTGTACTGTTGTTTAATACATAAAGTTCTTTGTCCTGCTGAAGTCAAACCAGCAGATTTAAAGGGCCAGTGTGTAGGATTTAAAGAGATGTATTAGCAGAAATTAAATACAATATTCATAACTATGTTTTCATGATCACCTGAAACTAAGAATTGTTGTGTTTTCGGGATCTTAAAATGAGCCCCTCATAACTACATTGGGAGCGGGAGGAGGGGTCCGCCATATTGCACCGCCATGTCTCTACAGCACCACCAGATGATGCCAAATCCTACACACTGTCCCTTTAAGAAATAAAAGCAAGCACCAAAAGCATAATTCTGTGTTTGAGTCCAAATGAATCCACATCAACCAAAAGCAGTTTCTTATGTTCAGTATTTCCACCCTCCATTTCATCTCCCCTCTCTCTACCTGCTCCTCCCCAGTTAAAGACCCAGAGGGGGTCATGATCCGCTACAAGAAGATCCTGACGACCTACCAGCGGGTGAGGAGCATGTCCCGAGCCTTCCAGATCCACGGAGTCGACCGAAACACCATGGCCTCCACCTCCCCCATCGCAGAGCTGCTGCTGATGGCTCCAGAGAAGGTCTGACTTTTTATTTATTTTTATTTTGTTCCTGTTCGTGATAGCCGGCATGTGTCTGGACTGTAGGACAAAGTCAGTCGCCTTCTATAAGGCCAACAACCTATGCTAATAAAAAAAAAAAAAAAACTGTATATTTTAATATGTGTGTAATTCATACGCACTGAAAAATGTAGTATTTTTTTTTTGTTTGGGAGCAGTTTTATTACTTAACTTAAGCTCTGTTTTAATGATTGCAACACCGCAGACATTTGCTTGATCCAAAGTTGTAGAATAAAAACAGTTACAGACATTAACTTTTGTTTTCTAATCGGCTAAACAAATTATCCTAAACACTCAACTGATCACAATTTCTGTCCTTAAAATGAAATCGACTCCCTAAACCAGGGGTCCCCAAACTTTTTCCTGTGAGGGCCACATAACTTTTCCCTTCTCTGATGGGGGCGGGGTCAGCTTGGTGTACAAATGTATTCTGCTGAGCTAACAGTCCACTTTTTAGCTTTGAGAGTTTGTCTGCTCGCATTTGGCCTTGCAAGTTATCATACTTGTCTTTGTGACGGGATTCATCGGCGCAGATTGTATTCTTTGAATACCGCCACCGCCTCTTGACAGATGAGACAAACAGCCTTTTCTTTGCATTGAACAAAAAAATAATCGTTTGACCACTGCAGGTTAAATACCCTGCATTCTGAATCAATTTTTCTCTTACCTAACCTTTTCGCCATTATTCCGTTCTATTTGACAGGGGCTAGTCTAGGATTTGCGTGGCCAGACTGAAAAAAAATCATAATGCGTCTCTGGTATTGTTCAGGGGGCCGGGCCAAATGTGGAGGCGGGCCGTATCCGGCCCGCGGGCCTTAGTTTGGGGACCACTGCCCTAAACAGTCGTTATGACAGTTAGTTTAGTGTAGCATTGGTATAAATAAAGCAGATGTAAAATCATTGCAATACAATTATTTGTCAGCATCTTGTTTCGATACACTCTAGTCTCGGCCTTGACTTGGTCTGAAACCCTCAAAGTCTTGGTCCTGTCTTGGTCTCGATACACCCTGGTCTTGGTCCTGTCTAGGTCTAGATACACCCTGGTCTCGGCCTTGACTTGGTCTGAAACCCTCAAAGTCTCGGTCCTGTCTTGGTCTCGATACACCCTGGTCTTGATCCTGTCTTGGTCTCGGTTTAGGTGGTCTTGACTGCAACGCTGTTATGTTGTCGGGTTTAAAAAGGTCTGCATCTACCGGATTTAAATGTCCACTAAATCAAAGACCGCCTCTGACGTTCCCGCAGGTGGCGGAGGTCGGGGAGTTCGAGGCGTCGAAGGAGAAGCTTTTGGATTACGCCCGGCGGTGCTACAAGACCATGGACGAGCCGACGCACGCCAAGGTCCAGGCCATGAAGAAGACTCACAAGCTGCTGCCGATCTCATACAGGTTCAGAAACTGACCAACAGGCTGGAGGAGACGGGAGGTTCATCTTTATTTTGAACTGTTTCCACTTTACTTTTTCATTGCCTTAAAAGAAGAAGAAGATACAATACATGTGGAAATGTTATTAGATGCCAAATAACAGGATTTATTTAGTTTGAAAACATTTAAGGTTTTTTGCTTGATTTGTATTTGTGATTTTCCTTTTTATTCATCGAGCAGCTGTAAAGGTGGGAAGGATTTATTTTTGCTGTAGCTCAGTTGTTGTGAAGATTTTCATTCGAGGTTAAAGTCACTTTTTGCTTTTCCTCAGGAATTAACTGGAGTTATACTTTAACTAGAAGACACCAAAGTAATCAGTAAATGTGTCATTCTGGACAAAGACTTGAATTTGCTCTGGGAGTATTTACAGACCCTAGATGATCGTTTACTAAGATGACTGGCCTTTTGTTTTGTATCAAAAAGAGATATATATATTTACTTATTTATTTATTTGCTTTATTTGTTTTTGACACAGTTTTTGTAGTGTATAAAATATTATTTTATAAAATATTTGCTATTGGTAAAAAATGATCATTTGTTTCGTTCATATATTTGGTGCCTTAGTTATGCATTTTATTTATGTTGGCCAGATGTGCGTGCTGATGTTGCAGTTTTGTGAACCGTGTGGTATTAGAAGGTTTGAAATGTTTTATCACGAAAGAAAGTAAATCGCTTTAAATGTCTGATTGTTTTGTTTGTTTTTTTTACAATCGGGACACAATCCATGAATGATGTAATTGAAGGTATGAATTCAGTTAGAGTCCAGCATTCAGACGAGTAAATGAGAAATAATACACCACGAGACACTAAACTCCATTTTACGTTTCTACCATTTATCTACATGCTCTGGTAAAGAAGTTGACTGCAGCAAAATGATTTAATTCTACAACTGACAGAGATTCAACTGATTAATTTAAAGTGACTGAACACAGATTTTACTTGTTGAATATTTAAGAAATGAGACAGATTTTGCTGAAAAGATCTTATTTATAATAGTATGAAGGCTGCAGCGCCCTCCGGTGGAGGGAAGGAGTAATGCAGATGTTACGATAGTTTATGATAACCTGTGATGGATGGGTCCTGAAAGTGGATAAGGGACCTGAAACAGATTTAGCGCCATCGACACCAAGTTCAATACACTGCAGTCAGTTTTAAATAAAGTGGTCATGGAATATTCATAAATCACTGCAGGAGTCGAGATCCAGAACAAGGGTGGATAACGTTTCTTTTTATTGTGATGCCATTTACAAAAGAATATAAGGAGCCAACAAAAGTAAATGTGCAGTTTTCAAGCAGTTTCACTGCAAGAAAATTTGCGTTCATAGACGCAAAATGTATTTTCTATCAAAATAACTGTCCACTCTCCTTATTTCTAAATTCTGCCTTTTTTCCTATAATGCATTCCTTTAGTTAATGGTGTAACGTTTGGGTACACAATTATGTCCTATTTTAGTAAGTACATTGTCCACACAGAGATTAATGTAGCCTGTAGCCGCGTCCATATCGGCATCATTAAACGTTTCGCAATCTGTGCACAGCAAACAGCCTTTAAGTTGTTCTGTATCATCTTCTGGCCACAGTGTCACCGGTTTAACATGTGGCTTTATATGTGGGAATTATGTGGATGGTGTTGTGGTCAGAGTTAGCCAGGGGAGGTTTAAATCTGGAAACATCGGCAAAAGGTCACTGGTTGGTGCATCCATTCATCACACATTCAGGAAAGTCTGGGTTAATTTCATAATAAAATACTAATAAAGAGAAACCCACTAGGATCTGACAGTAAAATAACAAGCAGTAATAAATCAAACACTTAATTTATTGTATATAAATTCAAATTTGTACTTGATTTCATCGTGTTTTTAATTTATTACTTATTTTATTGAATTTAAATAATAAAGTATAACTTGAACATTTTATTGTCTCACGTGCATGGTCTCAAATTTTAAAATTGCTAAATTTCTTTTGTCTTTACTGTTGTTTTTTTGGTCTTTTAGGTAAGAAATAAACAAACTTGACAGGATTTAAAGAAATGAACTTGAAAAAGATAAACCTGTTGGTCTGTCACGATAAAAACACAGTAAACTAGAGTCAATGTCGACCTCTAAGCAATCAATTTCATGGTAAGAAATGATTTAGACAACGGATTTGTCACCGTTCTTGGTTGTGTTATTATAAATAAAGTTGAGTTTAAAAAAAATGTACATGGAGGGGCGTGGCACAACTCAGTTTAACCTTTCACCTTAACAAACAGTCCAATCAGAGCAGGATCTATCCCGGAAGTAGTAAAAACCAAGCTTCTCGTGACCGACAGAAAGCCTTGACGAATAAGAGTACGGGAGCGGCCAGCCATCGACCAGTCACAGACGAGCTGGGCGGGACTTGTGTCCAACAGGGCATCGGAAGGAGGAGGTGTTCCTGGCAGCCATCTTGGATGTGCGGAGTGATTGTTTAAGCGAGAAGAATTGACATTATATTTTTTTTAAAGGAAAAAACAGCCTTTGTACTGAATCGTTGAAGATTTACCGGAGTGTGGCGACCGAGGGAAGACATCGCAGCTCGGTAAAATCCAGGTAAATTAATCGCAGACTCAAAGGTGATGCATTTATGAGCCTTCCCCCCCCCCTTCTTTCCAAATTGTGTCTCCCACATCAGATAGAAGCTGCAGCTCTGCACACTGACAACACATCAACGCGTGTGTTTACCGTTAAAAAGACTAAACAGGCGCACACATCTGCGTCCAGATGTGTGCGCCTGTTAGGTAAAGTAACGCTAACGCAAAGCTAGACTTTGGGTTTAGTCTGTTAAAAAAAAGTAATGTTAATCCAACCTGTAAAAGAACCAGAACATGCACGTGAGCTCGGTGTCAGACTTTAAATTACTCAAATATGTCTTAGTTTCTAAAGCTAAGTTTAATTTATCTAAATAATATAGTTAATCTGACATAATGGATCATCTGGGTCAGTGGATCGAGTCACACACGTATCATAAATAATCTAAAATAATATTTAAAGTGTGTGGGTGCATTTAAAATGTCGTAGAGGTTTTATCTGGGTCAAATATTTAAAAATAAAACGTTCCTTTATTGTATATTGTTATCAATGTTATTGATCACGTTGATCACCCAGAGGTGGGTTTTATATGAACAACGTTTTCTTTATTTAAATATATATATCTGTGCTTTATGTGAATAGTAGAGAGGTGAAGTACAAGAGAGGGGAGATAATAATACACTTTATTTAATGGCACCATTCATACAGGAGGTGTAGTTCAAAGTGCTTTACAACAAAGAGAATACATATTAACAGGCACACTTGAAAACAAGTACAAATACAACATGATATATGTATATACATATACACACACACAAGACAACGCTAATATTGGTCTTTACTAGTAGAACACTCAGTACAATGTTAAACATTTATATAAATATATATTATGTGGTAAACTGCAGTAGAAAAATTCATACAGAAAAAAACACAAACGTCAAGACAGAGACCGTCGTCAATGCTCCATTCTTTTTTTATTTTAGTATTATTTGAAGTGAAGGTGTTTGTCAAGAAATAACATTTAAACTACGTCATCGTTCCTAAATGTTACTTCTTCATCCTCGTATTTTTATTTGCTTTATTGTTATTTGCAAAGGCAGCAATCTGTGACAGATGTCCCACAGTGCAAAACAGCAGAAGGAAAAGTTAATTTAATCTAAATACTGAAAGTCCTTCAAGGATAGTAGCCAGGCCACATGTAGGAGCAGATACTTTACACTCTTGTGAAGTTATTTAGACTTAAATTTTTGAATTTTATACATCTTTAGTTTCACTTATGGATTCATCAAGTGTGGTCTGAAAACGTGCCGGCTCTCACGCTTTGGTGCCTCACGCTTGAAGCCATGAATCTCAATCAGAAGTGTCCCAATGAAGGCGTCTTTCCTGCCTCTTATTCATATCTCGCTCCACTTTGTTGTGTGAAGATCTCGTGCTAACGTAGTCAAACATGCATCACGTTCAGATTTCTCCAGCAGTTTGATTGCAGAATAGGATTCATCAACTATAAATATCAACAATAATCCGTAGGTTTCGCTATCAAATCAGCCGTGGAAATGCATAAGATCACAACTTGAATAGAACTTCTTCAAACTTGTTCTCCGGTGTTGTTGAAAAACATTTTAGTCAGATGTACACATGATCAGCTGATGTGCATTCCTGGAAATGACTCTTTGAACATCACAGATTAAAGAAACGAGTATAAAAGTATCCAAGGACGATGTTTCTTTTAGTCCCAGTCAACTCCTGTCGGGACATTTTGGAGGGTAAAGGTTCCATCATCAGGGATTCACTTGTTCAACATGTTCATTTGTGTAATAATGTGCACTTTCCCTGTTTTAATTAAACCAACAAACGCACATGTAAACAGTCTTTTGTCTCTCGTTTCCTGCAGTGAAAGACGGCATGAAGACATCATCCTAGTCATCAGTCATGGCCGATAAAAGGAAACTTCAAGGTGAGATCTTGTGTGTGTGTGTGTGTGTGTGTGTGTGTGTGTGTGTGTGTGTGTGT